AGAAAGGAAAGTTCATACTTAGAATACTGATTTTCTAGTATGCCAATCAGACAATTCGGGTAAAGTAGGGTAATGTTGTGTCTGACCCGTTTTATGCAAATCATGGTATTCGTCAAGGTGGAATTTTGTCTCCTATTCCCTTTAATGTGTGCATGAATGGCTTGTTGAAACAGCTGAATGGGTGTAACACAGGTTGTTAAATTGGAAACACTGTCGTAAATCTGGTCATCTATAGTCCATACAGTGTTGGGTTGCAGCACTTGCTGTCGGTCTGCTCACAGTATGGGGGCAATCGTGACATTGAGTTGAATCCCAAAAAGAGTAATGACATGATAGAAGTAGAGAGGATAAGAAATCAGTTTTTCCTCCCATGGCATGTCAGGAGATAAACTACCTCGATCATTTTCTCACTGATGATTGGTCTGATGACAGATATATACCATATATATACTGTATATCGACACTGTTGTAAATTACCGTATTTTCTGCACTATAAGGCGCTTCGGAATATAAGGAACACTTTCAATGAATGGCCTATTTCAAAACTGTTTTCATATATACATGTAGGTCCCAATGCATTATAAGCTGCATAGAATAGAAGCTGCATTAATGGCTGTGGTTGTGCTATGCATCCACTAGATGGAGCTATGCTATTACAACACAATACAGCTTTATTGTGAAACATAGACACACAAATGGCATTCCAAAACAATAAATGAAAGACAAACGTTATGAAGACAAATGATTCAACAAAAAGCACACAAACTTCGTGGGCTCACATCCATAAGGGGCTTAATATCCTTACAAATCTTGCTGTGTCCTTCTTCCTTCGTTAATCAGTAGTTAACTATGCTTTTGGTATTATTTTAATGACTGCGCAGAACTCACAAGGTAGTTGTCTGTTTGAATGTGCGTTAGCGAATGCCCATGTCATTTAGTGTCGGGCAGAAGCCTTTTAGGTTACAATTGGTTCCTGCTAATAATCACCACTAGATGGTATAGGAACACTAACAGAGAAACAACTCAATGGGGAATATAAAGAGCCTTTGTAACACCATACATAATGCGCATCGGATTATAGGGCACACTGTCGGCTTTTGGGAAAATTGAATGTTTTTAGGTGTGCCTTATAGTACGGAAAATATTCTCCGGCAAACATGTTGCTCTGTGAATTCAATATGTGTTCCTTTGGTGTAAAATGTTATCTGTTCAGAGCTTTCTGCACACCCATGTATGCTGCTCATCTTTGGTGTAGTTATAGGAAAAGCAGTCTGCGGCGGCTTATAATGGCCCTAATGATGCACTGAGGTTGCTGCTTCAGGTACCTAAGTGGCACAGTGCGAGTGAACGGTTTGTGTACTGTCATATCCCTAATTGTGAAGCACTTTTGAGACACCTGATGTACAACTTTAGGTGTCGCCTGGAAGACTCAGACAACACTATCATAGAGGCTTAAACCATCCCTAAGAAGAGCTGCTATAGGTTCTCATCTAGATTTAGAAAATACTGATGAGATTGCCTGTATATGAACTCAATGAACTATTTTCCATTTTTATTTTATTTTTACCTTGTCCGTTTTGTATTTTACAGATATGGATCTGCTATGACTGCAATAAAGATTGCATTGAATTGAATCTCATGGACATTTGTTTTCTCTTTGACATAAAACCTGTCCTTGTACTCTGTATCTTGAAGGTTAAGTGAGACAAACGCAGTGATTTTATTTTATTTTTTTTAAACAGTCAAATTCTGAATAATTGTACTGTGTCTGTGTACATTTACATTTAATGTAAATTCAATGGAATTGCGAATTGAAATGTCATTCATGCACATGCTTGAATACAGGCACAATGGGCTTCAAGTGTAGACTGAAATGATTACAGGATGCAGATAAGGCTGGTGGCTGAACACATCAACAACACGCGTAAAACAGTTTTGACATTTAATGTGATGCTCACTTATGTAATGGGACTGATGTTTCACACCGATGTGATCGTAAGTTGATCTGCTCCAGGCACAGCACGTCCGCTGCTCTTCTTCAGAGGGAAGTTGGCTTTTCGGAAGAGGGGACTGTGAAGTAGGCAGAGGAGCTTAAACAGATTGCTGCAGACAGAGCATAAACGGAGGAACTGCACTAAAGTGTCAGTAAAAGATTAAAAGTCAGTCAAGCAGTTTTGGTGCCAGGGTGACGGTTTCCTTCACAAAGTGGTTTTCTCATGGGTCGAATTGGTCGATCATTTAATATCAAAAGTGACAAACAGTGCTATACTGTCATCTACACGACTGTCTATGCCAAGGCTTTAAGATGGGCTCTTGCTACACTATTTGCCACATGTGAGCAATTGTAGAAAAACACAGGTGGAACTAATTGGAATGGAAATTTACCACAAATTCTTTTGAGTCCCAAGGTTATGTTGCATGCTGTGTTCCAATTAACTGTCAACAATTGTGTGATATGAGTCTCCTATAAGTGGTCTCACTGCACACAGTGAGTTAATTAGGGTTTTTTTTTCAATTTTGATTTCCATTTATGAATAACCTGGATAATCACACACTACACAACGGCCAAGGAAGACACACATGCTTTGATATAAAATAGATATCGCTGGTGTGGGGCAAAAACCTCCTCTCGTATTTTGGTCAATTTTATATTTTTTTTTCACAAATCTGTGCTATTGCTCAGTACACAAGTGTGGGTGTTATTTTATTTTATTGTTTTACAAATTAGTGACCAATCAAATGGCTTGCTCTCTTGAACAAACAGGCCATTTTGGAGCTACAAAAGTCCCGTTCACACGGCAACGTTTGGTCCGACGCTGCGCCGAAGCAAAGCCAGTCGAGCGTTCACACGTGCACATTTGCTCCGACGTAGCTCCACTAAAGAGCTTATACCGGACCAAATTTGATCCACCTCAGGGAGGTGGTTTTCAAAATTTGCTCCAGAGCAAATGCTCATTTGCGACGCTACGCCGGAACAAATGTGCACGTGTGAATGCAGCTGGGTTAAATTTGCTCCAGAGCAAATGTTCGCTTGCGGGAGAGTGGCCTCGCTACGCTCGCTACCAGATGCACGGAATCCGACCCCGGTCGACAGTGACGAGGGGGCCAGCGACACAGACAAAGCCCGGCCGTGCACCCCCGTTCCCGGTAAAAGTGTCGGCGATTTAAGCGGTGAAGACAGCGCTCACGATCAAGGAGAGAATCGAGCCTGACCCGACCAGGCCCGAGGGTATTAAAGCCCGACCCGGCGGAGTCCGATTTGCAGGCCCGAGCCCGAAGCAAACCCGACATTTCATATTTTATTTGTGAGTATTTTTGGGAGAAAAAAACACAAGATTTCTTACGGTTAAAATAATCTACATATTTTTATGAACATGATCAATGCATTTGCACAACGAAATAAC